TCAACATTCACTTTCATAAGATTTTGAGTTTTAAATTTTTTCTCCCTTCCACTCCTCTCCCCCCAACAAGATGACCTGCAGTCTGACATAGGCTCTACTTATACATTCATTTTAAGCATATTTTCCCTTTAGTCATGATGTAAAGAACAATTAAAACTGATGGGAGAAACCATGAGAATAAAGCAATAAAATAAAACAACAAAGGAAAAGGAGAGCAGATAGTATGCTCCCATCTGCATTCAGACTCCATAGTTTTTTCTCTGGATGTGGATAGCCATTTCCATTGTGAGTCTTTTGGAGTTGTCTCAGATTCCTGCATTGCTGTGAAGAGCCAAGTCTATCAAAGTCAGTAATCCCACAATGTGGCCGTTACTGTGTATGTACAATCTTCTCCTGGTTCTGCTCACTTCATTCAGCATCAGTTCATGTAAGTCTTTCCAGGTTAAAAAACAAAACAAAACAAAACAAAACAAAACAAGGTCTTGAAAGAATTGGGGTGCTTTGGAAGAGCCTAATAAACAGTATTTCCTCAAGCAACGCTAAGGCTGGAAAACTGGTTTCATGTTTCATGGAGTGCTTCCTATGACCTGTAGGGTCATTTTCTCTAGACTCAGCACATGAAAGAAATTAAAATTTAACTATCATATAGAAGGAAGGTGGTAATCCCTCTTATACTTAGGTCTGGTCAGACTTACAGGTTTAGAGCTGGCAGAACACACATCTGGAGTATGATGCTCCGTTCTGGGCACTAGTTTTAGAAGATTTACAAAGTCGGGTGTGTTCAGAAGATAGTCACCAGGAAAGTGAGGACAGGAGACTACACATTATTGAGATGAACTGAAGGAAATGTGGTTGTTTGGCCTGGAGAAGAGAAGACCTAGGGAGAGGGACATGATAGATGTCTTTTATCATGCCCTTGACTGATCTTTGGCTTCTGGAAGAAAGAGGAGAGGAGGGTGCCTCATTATCATGCTTGGTGGGTCTCCTGCCTAATTTCCATGAGTCTCTTGCCTGGTCTCTTAGTGGGAGTGGGAAGAGAAATGGGCACCCTCCATGGTGTCTTGTATATCTTCTGCATGGTCTCCAACCTCTTGTGGGAAGAGGAGAAGTAACCTTTCATCACACCAGTCTCCTGTTGCTGAGGTGAGGAGAGAGAGTACCATTCTATCAAGTCTGCAGCTTTGTCTTCTGCCTTGGGGGAAGGACAGTATCACTACTCCTTCTGCTGCAAGTTCTTGTTCCTAACATCCAGTCAAAATCCTGGTAGCTATTGTCTATAGACTCCAGGACACACTATATTCTTCCTCAATGAGTTCAGTTCCTCACTCACAATCTTTTCTCCCCATTTCTTGTCCTCATACTATGGGACTTCAATATACACACAAATACTCCCTCAAGCACCATAATCTCCCAGTTCAACTCATTTTCCATGACCTATTACCCCACCTTATCTCAGCCACATCCAAGGATAGTCACACTTTTGATCTTGCCCTCACCCACAAATTTATACCTCTGTGTTCATGAACTTTGAAATTCCCTTATCTGATCACAATTTATTGGCTTTCCATCTATTCCTCTGCCTTCCCACAACAAACTTTGTTCTTCATCTATACCTTGACCTTCAATTCCTTGACCCCCCTCAGTTTTCTCCTACACTATCATACCTGAACTATCCACATTCTCTTCCTTTCTCCACATTGACCTCTTGGCAAACCAGTTCAATTCTACATTTTCCTCTTGAGTCTCTTACCCCCTTATCATATTGATTATTGTGTCCCAACAAGATTCAGCCTTAAGTTACTTACACCATTTTCTCTGCTCCTTCATGTACTATTGAATGAAGGTAGAGAAAATCATGCAACCATTCCGAATTTGTCCACTACAGATTTATGTTATATAACCTTAACCGGGCCCCACTGATGGAAGGGGATCCTTTTATACCTCTGTAATTAACTTACTATCCTACTCATTACAGCCACTCTTCCAAACCTTTGCATTCCTCCTTAAACCTCCCATGGCTTCCTCTTTCACTTTCTCTGCTGAGAATCTTCCCTCATATTTTACTGAAAAAATTCAGGCCATTAGCCAAGAGCTCCTTGTTTTCCTCTCTACTTCATCTTCTATCACTCAGATAGCTTCTTTCACTATCTCCATCTTTACCTCTATCTCACATGATAAGGTGACCCTTCTCCCCGATAAGCCAAGCCCATCTAACTGCACAAGTCATTCCATTCCAACCTGTCTCCCTCTGTCATCCCTACTCTCTCACTAAGCATTAATCTCTTCCCATCTACTTGCTGCTTCTGAACTGTCTACAAATATGCCTTTGTTTCCTCCATCCTCAAAAAACTCTTAGGTGATCCATCAAGCCCATCCCTTTGAACTATTGACCTATATCTCAGGAGAGCCTTTTGTGGCTAAACTACTCAAGAAGGCCATCTACAATAGGTCAATAGGTGTCTCCACTTCCTTTCTTCTCATTCTCTTCTTAGCTGTCTACAATCTAGCTGCTGACCTCATCATTAAATTGAACCTACTCTCTCTAAAGTTACCAGTGATCTCTTAATTGCCAAATCCAGTGGCCTTTGCTCACTCCTAATCCTTCTTGACTTCTGCTTTTGGCATTGTTGATCACTCCTTTATGTTCTCTTCTCTCTAAGTTTTTAGAATACTACTGGTTTCCCGGTTATCCTCCTATCTATTGGATCATTCCTTCTCAGCCTACTTTGCTAGAACCTCATTCAGGTTGCACCCACTAACCATGAGTGTCCCACAGGGTTCTCTCCTGGGCCTTCTTTTCTTCTCCCTCCGTATTATTTACCTTGGTGATCTCATCAGCTCCCATCTATTCAATTATCATCTCTCTGCTGCTAATTCTTAAATCTACCTATCCAGCCCTCACCTCCAACTGCCTCTGAGAACTTTGAAATTGGATGTCCAATAGACATCTTAAACTAAACATTATGCCCCAAATTAGATACTATTATTATCTTTTTCCCTTCTAAACTTCCATTTTAATGTTGAGGGAACCACTACCCTCCTAGTCTTTTAGGCTCACAATCTGAGTTATTTTTGATTCCTCATTATCCCTCATTCTCCATATCCAATTTATTGTCAAGGCTAGTTGATTTTGCCTACATATCTTCTGATGGGGATTTGGGCTTTATCTATGGGGATGGCCCAGGCAACATCAGCCTCTCAGTTCCTTACAGAGATGAGTTGGCAAATGTGGGGTAAACATGCATGGAAACTACTTTAAAAGACAGTTATTATATTTTTGTTACATTTCGAGGTCCCAGGTATCAGGAAGGTTCTTCCTTCCTTCCCAAACCCACATTAGAGAAGGCTAACATTTGATATAGTTTTATATGTGGAACCATACAATGCATAATTGGATACAATAGTTTGTTCTCTGGAGGTGGATAGCATTTTTCTTCATAAGACCTTTATAGTTGATTTGAATGCTCATGTTACTCAAAATAGTTTAGTCATTCACAGTTACTCTTCAAGCAATATCACTGAATGTGTGTTGCCTCAGACAAACTGAGACCTGGGAAAGACCTTAGCTTAAAAAGGACAAAGTCTCCCACTAGATTTGGGGTCATCTCCAATGTCCTGATCTATGTCTTGCCACTGGACTCTGATGACCCTGGAGGAGAGAGTGAGGCTGATGACTTTGCACAGCTCTGCCTCACTTAAATCCAATTCACTTGCAAGTCAAGATATCAGCCTCCTGATGTCATTGGTTCTCTTTGAGAACAAAGGACAAACAACAGTCTGCTACTATATACAACATTCTCTTAGTTCTGCTCATTTTGCTCTACATTATTTCATTCAAGTCTTTCCATGTTTTTCTAAAACCAAACCTCCTTGTCATTTCCTACAGCACAGCAGAATTCCATTACAATCATATACCGTAACTTGTTCAGCCATTGCCCAATTTTTTTTCTTTTTTTTCTTTTCTAGGCAACGGGGGTTAAGTGACTTGCCCAGGGTCACACAGCTAATAAGTGTCAAGTGTTCGGTCTGAGACGGCATTTGAACTCAGGTTCTCCTGACATCAGGGCCGGTGCTCTATCCACTGTGCCACCCAGCTGCCCCCATTGCCCAATTTGATAGGCATCTCCTCACTTTCCAGTTCTTTGCCATCACAAAAAGAGCTGGTATAAATATTTTATAACATATATTTTCCTTTTTCCCTGATCACCTTGGGAAACAGACCTAATTGTGGTATTACTGGATCAAACAGTATACACAGCTTTATAAATCTTTGGGCATAATTCCAAATTGCTCTTTAAACTGGCTGGATCAGCTCACAATTCTACCAACAGTGTATTAGTGTTCTAATTTTTCCATACCCCCTCCAAAATTTATCATTTTCCCCTTCAATCATTTTAGCCAATCTGATAGGTGTGAGATGGTACCTCAGAGTTGTTTTAATTTGCATTTGTCTAATCAATAATGACTTAGAGCATTTTTAAAAATACAACTATATAACCTACTTTTAAGTAATTTGCATTATTAGCATTTTCTTTCTTGCTTTCTTAAATCTAAGTAGAACAAAACCATAAATTAAACCAGCCTAGATTTGTAGCATTTGTATCTGGTGTATAAATAATGCTCAAACTGAAAATTTTAAAACGGGCTCAGAGCCTGTAGGAGTTGGTTCCTTAAGAGCAGGTATTGCCTGGCAGGCACGTAGCAGGTGCTTAATAAATGCTTAGTGACTGACCTCTGTCGTCCCTTACAACTCTAAGAATCTATTATTCTAGACATTCTGGGGCCTCTTTGGGACACGTTTTCTAAACCTTTTTTCTTGATTTTGATCCTGCCCCTCTCCTCTTCATTCCTCAACCAGATAGAACACAAATTTGTTCCAGCTTCCCCCTAGCCTAGGCTAACTCCCGCGCAGGCGCACACAAATCTCTTCCTTTACCAGCTTGGCAATAAAACCCAGCCCCTTCTTCCCCGCGCACACGAAACGCGAGGAGGTAGTTTGGCCCTATTCGGGAGCCGTACCTCCTTGGAAAGACCGGGGGAAGTGGAATTGTGGGAGAACATGGCGGCGGCTTTGGTGGCCCGGAGTCCCCGGGTTCTGACAATGTCACGTAAGTGTCACTCGCGGCTGGAGCCGCGTTCTAGGCTGCGGTGCTTCGAACCGAGCGACTTCCGCTCTGCTTGGGAGGAAGCGCCCCAGACGCCGTGGCTTCTGGGCCCGGGCCGTCCTTCCCTTCTCGGGGTCTCGTCTCCGGGACGCCCGAGCCTGGCCCAGGGGCCGCAGAAGAGGACGGGAACGAGGGGGACGGAATGGGAGGGGGAGAAGGAGGAGCGCGAGAGGCCGACCCTGTCTTTTCTCTGCCCCCAGACCCGCTACCCCTACTAAGTTGTGTACGAAGCGTGGCATTCAAGGCCGTTCCCAGCCCGCCCCGTTTTACCTCTTCACCTTATTCCCTTCATTTATCTCCTCATTTCTCTTCGCTCACTCCGTTTTCTGGAGCTCGAGCCTTTCTCTGCTCTAGCTTCCCTTTCCTTAGAAATAGAATTATTATCTCCCGTTCCCTCTTTTGACGGATGAAACTGAGGCCCGGAGCGAAGTGACTTGCCTAAGGTCACGCATAGTAATAGTAAAGTAGTGAATCACAGTAAAAGTCAGGGATTGCATCCAGTTCTTCTGAACCCATGTTCATCGTGCTGCTTCTTCGCATCATTGTGGTGGTGTTGAGTTTCTGGAGCAAGACACTTTTCCTCCCACAGGTTCTTCACTAGCTCTTCACGGGCGGGGACGTTAGATTAGAGCAGTTAGGAGGGTATTAGCTCACTTGGTGGGTACCCTCTTCGATGTTTCCCCTTCCTCAGAGAGACTTCCCTGGGTACTTTGTCGTGACCTCTCCTTTGTTCTTGTCACAGTCTGCCTTACTTTATATTTATTTGTGTAGATGTCATCCTCTGTGGATCATCAGTTTTTTCAAGAGAGTCCTTTATAATTTCTGTATTCCCAGAGGTTTGCACGAAAAAAGGGAAGAGAGTGGAGTCAGCAAACAGTTGGCCCTTGAGCTTGGTTTAGATTCCTCCCAAAATTCTAGAACATATTATTTCAAGGATAGTTTATGAGCATTTAGAAATGAGAGCATTGATCACTAAAAATCACTATGGCTTCACCAAGAACATGAATTGTGCCAGATTTACGTCATTGCCCTTTACTGACAGATTTAGATGGGAATTCTGTAGACATTACCTTAACATTCCTTACCTGTTCATTCTCTCTTATTCCTGTAGCTAATCACATGCTAAATCTTGCTGTTTCTACCTCCAGAATATCTCATGCATCTGGCCCCTTTTCTCCACTTAGATCATTTTCACCTTGATTCAGGGCATTATCATTCTCTTGCCCAAATTATTGCAAAGGTGGCTCCCTAATTGATCGTCTTTCCTCAGAGCTCTTCCTATTTCAGTCCATTTTCCACACTGCTATCAAACTAATTTTTCTTAAGCAGACATCTGTCCATGTCAGTCCCCACCTCAGTCAACTCCACTAGCTTCTTATTGCTTATAGAATCAAGTATAGATGCCTCTTTTTAGCCTTTAAAGGCCTTCACAGCCTTTCCCTAACCCTCAGACCCTTCCTACCTGTGTGACCCTGGGCAAGTCACTTAGCCTCTGTTTGCCCCAGTTTCCTAATCTGTAGAATGGGGTTAATAATAGCATCTAGTACAGTGCCTGGTGAAGAGTAAGCATGATATAAATGTTAACTATTATTATTATTCCTTAGCACAGTACATGAATATTAGACATTTGATAAATGCTTATTGATTAAAAAGTTTGAAACTAGAGATGGGTTTAGGGTGAAGGTGACAGAGGGGTAAAGCATGATTGAGGATACAAACCTGGTGACTGAAAGGATCATGCTGCCCTTCACAGAAATAGAGGCGTTTGGAAGGGGAGTGGATTTTTAGGGAAAGATAATTAACTGTTTTGTACTGGTTAAGTTTGAGATGCCTACAGAACATGAGTAGGAAAATGTCCAAATAGCATTGATAAACTAGGTATATAGATCCAGGATATATAGATCAGCTAAATAGAGAATATAATTAAATCCTGGCTGATGAGGCCAGGATGCTTAAACTGTTGCTGTGACACTTGAGTGTCAGAATTGAAAGAGAAGAGGGCCAAAGATAGAGCTTTGGGGTATATGGAGTTAGGACTTATGATATAATTGATAAACCAACAAAGGAGACTCGAGATAGTCAGATAAGAGAACCAATGGACAGTGGTATCATATCCCAGGGAAAAGAGGTTGGTCAGTAGGGGTCAAATTCTGCAGAGGCCAAGAAGAATTTGACCTTTTAGAGATCATTGGTAACTTTGGAGAAAGCAGTTTTGTTGCATGGTAAGGTCAAAAAGCTGGTTTACAAAGTGGTGAGAAATGAATGAGAGGGAATGGAGGTAATTCTCTTTATTTGCAGTTGTACTATTCACATTCTGAAGGTATTTCAAGGGCCAGATTTTGTTCAAAACAGTAAATTGTGTAGAATTATATAACACTGTTGTTATGTGTGTACATGAATTCTGCTAACTCTAACTTGAATCAAAGTAAAAATGGCCAAGCTCCATGTTGTTGTTACCAGTTATCCCTAGCAGGAATGTATTGTTTTCTGAGATGCACAGCAAGGATATCTGTGCTGGAGAAAATACAATCATGAAAACTTTGAGGAATTATTTGAGATCTCAAGGAAGAGATAATCGCAAAAGATGAAAAAACACAGATCATATTGCTGTCCATAAGCAATCTAAGGGACATTAATAACTAACACACAAACTTATTTACTCAGCTTCATCATAATTTTTATGAAAATAGTCCTTATGCATATTGAGAAATGATGTTGACAGAGAAAATAGTAGAGAAATTGAGAGAACAAAAAAGGTTAAAACTTTTTTTAAAATTTTCATCTTTATAGGGAAAAGAGGATCATGGAAAGAATTTGTGCACTGTTTAGGGTGGATAGGACATTGCTAATTAATGGGGAGAAGGTAGAGCTGCTCAACTTCTATTTTGCTACTATTGTTCCCAAGGTGAACAATCTTTGGATTGTAAAGTCAGTCTTTCAGTAAGCAATTATCATCAGGCGTGCACTATGTGCCAGGCACTGTGCTGAACACTGGGATGTAAAGAAAGGCAAAAGACAGTCTCTGCCCTCAAGGAGTTCACATCTAGTAGGGGAAACAATAACTAAAAGAACTCTATGTGTGTGTGTGTGTGTGTGTGTGTGTGTGTGATGAGAAGAGGGATTGAGAAAGGCATCTTACAGAAAGTAGGATTTAAACTGGGACTTCAAGGAAGCCACCAAGGGGCCGGGGTCACTGTATTGAAGAGTATGTAGGGCAGTATATGGTATAAAAAGACTGGAAAAGGAGGGGGCAACTAGGTTATAAAGGCCTTTGAAAGTCTAACAGAGAATACAAGTGTGAGGTGACAGTGTCAGAGGATAGAAGAAGGTGTATTGGAGAGATACGTCAAAAGCAAAATCCATAAGCTTTGGCAGTAGATTTGGTATGGAGTGTGAGAGATAGTGAGGAGTCAAGTATGACTCAAAGTTATGAGCCCAGAGGACTGGGAGAATGGTGGTTCCCTCAACAGTAATAGGGAAGTTTAGAAGGAGAAAGGCTTTAGGGGGAAAATAATGAGTCCAGTTTTGCACATGTTGAGTTTAAGATGTTTATTGGACATCCAGCTTGAGATGTCTGAAAGGCAGTTGGAGATGTGAGTTGAAGGTTAGCAGAAGGATTAGGACTGGATAGGTAGTTTTGAAAATCATCAAAAAAAAAAAAAGACAGAAGATCATCAGGATAGGATAATAATTGACTTCATGGAAGCTGATGAAATCACCAGGTTAAATAATATAGAGGGAGAAGAGAAGGCCCAAGAGAGAACTCTGTGAGTGGGTGTAACCTGGATGAGCTTCCATCAAAGGAGACTGAGAAGCAGTGGTCAGATAGGTAGGAGGAGAACCAGGAGAGAGTGGTGTCCCAACAATCTAGAGAGGAGAGTTGATCAAGGAGAGATCAACCATGTCAGAGGCTGAAGAGAGGTCAAGAAGAATGAGGATTGAGAAAGAATAGAATAAAAACTGTTAATAGGGAGTTGATATACCTTATAGGTATAATAAAAATAGGATAATATCAAAATATAAATATGAAAAAGAATAGAGATATCTAAGGTATAATCATGCCATTGTGTTGCAAAAATGGAGTAGAGGAGGTTATTATAGGTGATTGAACAATTGTTTAGTTATGTTAGTGGGCTGATCAACGTGAAGATAGAGAATGATAGAAGGGGATGGTTTGGAAGGAAAGTAGAGTTAAAGGTATTTAGAATGTTGGGCTGAGAGCATGGTAGATGAAAACAACAGGAATAGGGAAAGAGCATAGGAAGTAAGACTTCATTGTTGTCTTTCATGAGTTCAGTCTACCTATCAAAATTGCACTTTCTTAAAGGGGAGAAATCATGTCTAATAGCTCTTAGGTATTGCCTCATAGTGCCCAGCTTGTACTCTGCATACAGCAGGCAGTTCATAAAGCTTGCTGGCTGTTATTAACAAACTAATTGAGTAGGGATTGGCAAGTTATGCTTGGGAGCTTCAAGGGGGGAAAAGTCTTTGTATACATATTTTTAACTTTTGACTTATTCTTGGTTATTCTCTTGTCATGCTTAAGGATCTGGCATTACTGCTATTGCTACATCTGTATTTCTTGCCCAGTCCCACCGCAAACTTCATTATGCCCTTGTGCCTCATGGGAAAGGTGGACGCTCCTCAGTCAGTGGGATCGTGGCTACTGTATTTGGAGCAACAGGATTTTTGGGTCGATATGTCGTCAATCACCTTGGTAAGCTTGCTTGAGCATATATTCTCTTTAAGATTTTCATCTGCTACTTAATGGGATCACCTGTTTAAAATTCTGAACTCTGTGCATATTGCCTTTGCTACTTTCCAGAATGTTCTGTATTACTCCTAAGTTGCACTTAGAGAATTCTCTTCCTTCATGGAATTCCCATTTCCTAACAGCAAGGGATGGTAGATACAAGAATGGACAACAAAGGAAAACTGTAGAATGTTTTCCTATACATTCTCTGGTATGCCAAAAATATTTAGTGAAAAAGTGTTCCTAATACAGGCATGGTAGTAGAACTTCTGTGACTTCCTGCGCATCTAACCTATATGCCTCCTAGTTAAGTATTATCACACTTGCAATTTGGGTGTTTGAAACCAGGGGCTAGTGAGTATTCTGAATGGAAGGATAGGGTGGTGATAAAGTATACAGAATATACTTGAGGTCAAGTTGGATTGAACCAGTTTCCACTCAACATGGCTGCAAGGGAACCTGAGATGAGAAAGTTTTTAACAGCCCTTTCCCAGTTTACTCTTTCCAGTAGAAACCCATGATTTGCCTACGTGTGCTCATAGCTATGTAGATTGGTGCTTTGCTCTTTATTTCAGCCCATCTTTTCTGCCTTTCTAGGGCGCATGGGATCACAGGTGATCGTCCCCTATCGGTGTGAGCCTTATGATTTCACCTATCTTCGACCCATGGGTGACCTGGGCCAGATTATTTTTTTGGTAAGAACATAGTAAACATCACAAACGTGAGTTATTCCAAAAGCTGGGTGAAAAAGCAGGATAGTTCCCTGCCCTTCCCAAGAGGGCAAGGGCAAACCCCCAAATAAAGAGGAAGCTCACCCAGTCAAGTTCCAGGTTAACTTTTCCTTTTTTTTAAAAATGTTTTGTTGATGTTCTTTTTTTTTATGTCAGTCATTTCTTGACATACGTCCTTCCCCATTTAACCCTGCCTAATAACAAAGTAAAGCAGCTACAAAAGAGACTGATAGGCTTTCTGAAGAGGGTATGCAACATTCTGTCCCTTTGGCCCTCCACCTCACTAAGAAAAGGGAAATGTATTATTTCACCACGTATTTTTAGGGACTGAGATGGGTCAATTCAATTAACCTGAGTTCAGCCATTTTGAAGTGTAGTTTTAGTTACATTACAGAAGCCATAGTGGATATTGTTCTTTTGGTTCTTCTTTCGTTGCCCTGTATCATATCTTACAGGTCTTCCAATGTTTCTCTGAATTCTTCATTTTTGTCATTTCTTTTTGGTGTAATAATATTCCATGGCACTTACAAACCATGATTTATAGTTCATTTGCCAGTTGATGGGCATCCACATCCACTTTGATTCCTGTTTTTTGCTGCCACAGTAAACGCTGCTGCTCACAAATGGACAGGTTAACTGTACAGTACTGTTGCCCTAGGGTAAAAAAGAGATAATTTCTCTGTCATAAACAAAGCTATGTATCTCAGCTTTTTTATGCTTTACTGCTCTCTGCAGTGGCTTTCCTTTCTTCCACCCATTGTCTAATAGAGGCACAGTCAGTAATTCAGGCATTCAACAAACATTGTGTGCAAAACATTTTGCTAGACGCCTTAATTTAATTATACTGTGAGAGAATTTGGAGTATAAACTGAATACTGTATAGTTTTGTATTACTCAGTTTGGCTCAGGTTTAGAGGATCGAGCAGTTTTTTCAATGTACTGGTCTTTGTTGTTCCCTTTTTCAGTCAGCAGCACTTTCCTGTAGACCCTTACCTTGCCATGAAAGCTTTTTTTGTCTAGTCCACCTTTACTTCTACCATTTATTCAAAGTCCTTCCTAGTAAGTTCACTGTTCCACTCTACAGTGTAAGCCTTCTTGTTTCACCTCCACACAATATCCCTCTCTCTGCTGAAGATCCTGCCTCATATTTCACTGAAAAATTGAGGCTGTTTGCTGAGAGCTCCTTCTTCTCCCCTCCTACATATCACGCCACTTAGACATTTTCCGAAACTATCACCTTCTTCCTGCCAATCTCACATGAAGAAGTTGTCCTTGCCAAAGCTAACTCTACTACATGCATTACTTCCCCCTCCCATTTCACCAATCTTTCACCCTGTTGGCTCCTTCCCTGCTGCCTGCAAACATGCTTATGTCTTTCCTGTCCTTAAAAACCTGTCACTTGATCCTCCAACTCCAGAGCTATAGTGCTGTATTTCTCATCTCATTCTTGTCAGAGCAGTCTGCTAAGTTTCTCCATTTCCTTTTCTCTCAACTTTCTTCTAAATCTTTTGCAGGTTGGCTTCTGACATCATCATTTGGCTGAAACTGCCCTCTCCAAAGTTATTAATGATCTCTTAATTGCCAAAACTAATGTCTTTTTTTTTTTCAGTCTTAATCCTTCTTGACCTCTCTACAGCCTTTGTTGATCACCTCCATCTAGATACTCTCCTCCCTGGGTTTCCATGATAGTGCACTTTTTTGATTCTACTTCTGTCTGTTTGGGTACTCCTTAGTCTCCTTGCTGGTTTTTCATTTTTGCCACACTCATTAATTCTAGGTGTCTCTCAAGGCTCTTTTCTGGGTCCTTGTCTCTTTTCTCTATACTATTTTGCTTGCTCAGCCCTGATGGGTTTAGTAATGATATTTATACAGATGATTACCAAATCTAGGTATCTAGACCTAATTTCTTCCCTGAGCTTCTATTCTACATCACTTAGTGACTCTTGGACATTTCCAGTTGGATGTCCCATAGGGATCTTGAACTTAACGCTCCTAAAAAAGAACTTATTATTTCTTCTTCAAACCCTTCCCTCCTCCCAAATTTTCCATTTTTTTCTTTCCTCTTGGATTCTGTTTAATTGTTAAAGGTCAGAAACCAACAACTCATTTGCTTCCCCCATCTCCAGAAGGTAGCAGCTCCCCCTGTCTTCCTCTTGGGATGATCCAAGATCACCATCACCTCATTGCCTAGTGTTCAAGGATTGAACAAGTGAAGCTGTCAGAGGCAAGGCAAAGGAAGGGACCTGACTTCAAAGACAATGAATCTCTCCCCCCACTTCAGCAAATCCAAATCTAAAGATCATAGAGAACAGTGAATGAGTGAGAGTCACAGATCTTTCCTTCAGCCAAAGAGCTATGAAAGGGGACAGTTGGCCAAGACCAAGGCTTGGTGGTCCCTTGGTGACAGTTGAACTGTGGGACACTTGTCACCCCTAGCCCATTTCCAGTGTCTCTAGTGAGCTGGCTTTAGCTCCAAAAAATACCTTACTTCCACACAAGGCAAACCGTGGCTCTTGGGACTGTTGGACAGCTGGCTTGAGAAAAGGTGTGCGCCCCCCCCCCCCCCCCCCCCCCCCCCCCCCCCGAAGAAAGAAGAGGGTGAGGGAAGACTCCAGGTGCCAAGCATGGAGAGAAGTTCTAGGAAGGTTGGATCCTGGCCAGTTGGCTAATGGATCCATGGATCTGAGTCAGCCCCTCCACAACCTTGATCAGGTCATCTGTGGTGGCTTCTCACTTCATACCACTGCTGTCATCATACTATAAGTTAGCCATAACTTCTTGCATCTTGGGTCAGCTGATATCCAGGAAACTTTCAATCATATCTACATCAATGAAACCTATAGCTGGCTCTGTCTTGTGTTCTTCAGAAGGAGTGCTCAATCTTGGTGAACATTTTTGCCAACGACTTTATTGAGTTGGTTCTGCATGTCCAAGAGGAGATTGTACCAGCTTTCTGAAAGTGAAGTCACCAGATCGATCATCCATTGACTATGCCAAAGAGCACGGAGCCTCCACGGAAGTGGAGGTCTCCCCCCAGATTCTATATCACTAGGAAACCATGACATAAGATGTTGATAGACTCCCTCAGGTGGAAGAGTCCTACCTTCTACAGGTGCTGCCATTCCTTATCAGTGGTGGCAGCACTATCCTTGAGGGCACTGTTGTCTTCCCATTCGCCCAGGTGCTTAATCTTGGTGTCATCCTTGACTTCTCATTCTCACACCACGTAACCAATCTGTTGTCAAATCTTGTTCTATTTTCATGTCTGTCTCATATATCTATGTCTCTGTCTACCTAGCTCTCTATATATACATACACACACATATCTATATCTGTGTCTGTCTGCTATTCTCCATTCACTACTGTTCTCCATTTTCCAGTATAGACCCTCATTACTTTTTCCTGGGCTATTCCAGTATCCTTCAGAATGGTCTCTCTGCCTCAAATGTTGCCTTATCAATCCTCCATTCAGTTGCCAAAATGATTTTCCTAAAATGTGAGATTCTTCTTGCCATTTCCCCCCGAACTCCACTCCCCATTCAGTATACTCTATTAGTTCCCTATTACCTCTGGAATCATATATAAAGTCTTCTGTTTGATATTTAAACCTCTTTAACCTGACCCCTTCCTGCCTTTTCAGGCTTATTGTACTTTATACCCCACCACATACTCTGTGACTTTTATACTGGATTTTTTTGCACAAGACACTCCGTCTCCTATCTTTGCCTTTGAACTGGCTTTCTCCCATGCCTGGAATGTGCTCCATCTTCGTGTCTGCCATTTAGTTTTCCTGATTTACTTTATGACTTGGCTTAAACACCACAGGCAGGAAGCAGAAGACTTTCCTCAATCCCATCAGGTGCTTGTGCATTTCCCTATGAGATTACCTTCTATCTACTCTGTATGTATCTTGTATAGACCTACTTATTTACATTCTATCTCCCTCATTAGAATGTGAACTACTTGACAGCAAGGAATGTTTGTACATTCCTTTATACTTGTAGCACTTAGCATAGTGCTTGGCATATAGTAAATGTTTTTTGACTGAGTATGTCCTTCACCCTCTTTTTATTCTTTAGAAGAGTAAGGTCATAAGATCAACCGAAACTGGCAGAGGCCTTATAGACCACTTAGTCCATTCTCCTCATTTCACAGATGAGGAAACTGATACTCAGAGACGTTTATAAGAGGTAACTTGTTTGAAAGAACAAATAGATTCAAACCAAAGTTATCTGACTCTGCTCTTTCCACCCCACCATAGTAAGTTCTCTTCCTTTGGTTTCCATTATAAACTGCTATCTGCACAGCTGCCTTCCTCACTAACTGAACCAGTGTTGGAATGAGCTCTGTATTCAAGACTTTGTTTTCTTATTGATATCTTCTCAATATGTCTTGCTTTTAGGCCTTTGTGATGGCTGTTTGTCCTACTCCTCTATTCTGTATCAGCTCCTCTTGGGCTCTTCCCCTGCCATTTTTCTCTGAAGTTCTCATAGTTATTCTCATATCCCTTTCCTCTATCAGCTGACCTGACTCCTGGTGGAGGGATAAGTTGCATTTCAGCCTAGTTCTAATTAATTTTTTCCCCTTCACTCAGAATGAGGTGGTACAGTGGATAGAGGTCTGAGCCTGGAGTCAGGAAGACCTGAGTTCAAATATAGCCTCAGATTATGACCCTTGGCAAGATATTTAACCTCTGTTTGCTTCAGTATCCTCATCTGTAAAATGGGGGGGTAATAATAGTGCCTATTCCCAGGGTTATTGTGAAGATCAAATGAGATAATAATTGTAAAGCACTTAGCACAGTGCCTGTTAAATAGTAAATGTCATATAAATGTTAGTTGTTAATAACTAGTATTATTGTTATTATTATTTTGTGGAATACACAGCATATTAAAGACGGTCACCAGCTTATCTTGAGACATTTCCATTCCTCTTCTATTAAAGTGTTTAAAATAACTAAATACCTCATTTATATTTGATAGAAGAGTCCTTTCGAAATCTTTAGCCGTTTTATGGGGAATGGTCTATTTTGAAATTCAGAAATTGTAAGTTAAAATTTAAGCCCTGTCAGTTGTATTTGTAGCTTTAGGCAGAGGTTGCTCCATCTTTCTGGATCTCATTTTTCTGATCTGTAAAATGGAAACAAAACAGGTCTCAACTAAATAAGCTGCTATTAGTGCTCAAATTTAGATGCTCACCACCAAGAGAAATCCTTTATGCCTTTCCTGTCTATAGCTACATGTTATCTGAAGAGGAGCTTGGCTCCACCGAATTTGTCTTTGGCTCCCTGGCTAAATGTCAGGAGAGAGAATGCGCTTCTTGATTCTCTTGGTAGCCTAACTGAGACAGAGAAGTAAGAAGCAGCATGTTTGCTCTTCTGATGGAAATACTGACCTTATCCACGTGTAGGAGGAGTGTAGAGAAGTAAACAAAGCAGGTTGGCCCCTGAAACCATGCCCGTTGTATTAAATGAAGCCTTCATAAGATGCTGTTTCTTTGCAAATACAGTAATAAGCATTTGAACACCTGCCCAAACTTTGATAACGCTGTTTTGTATATGACTATATCCAGTGTTCTTTGATCTGATCTGATCTGATGCTGCTCTTCTAGGAATGGAATGCCAGGGACAAAAGTACCATCCAGAGGGCGCTGGAGCACAGCAATGTTGTCATCAATCTTATTGGACGAGATTGGGAAACTAAGTAAGTGCTTGGGGGTTTTTTCTTCCTTTTCCTTTGGGTTTTCTGTCCAGCAGGTGTAGAGTTGTCCATCAGTCACAGAGTATGTATTGAACACCTGGCATGTGCTTGGCACCATGGGATACAAAAGAATTTTAAGATATCTAGGATGTAGTAGTTGTAGCTATAGGGCTAATCCTGTCCTCTCATCTTACCGATGAGGAAACTGGGAACTAAAAATGTTAAGTTATTTGCCCAAGGTCGTGAAGACATTAAATAGGTAGTTGAACCAACATTTGAGTCCAGGTCTTCTAACTCTGGCCCTCTTTTGACTGTACCATGCTGCCATCCTTGGGCTAGGATAGGACTGTTTCAGTGATTGGAGGGACTAGAATAGATAGTCAAGAAAGAAATTTTAGAGGACGTGAGCTGAGCATATTAGAAGAACAGGAATTGACCATAAGTCTGGTAGGATAGAGCCCCAGAGATGTGATTTTTTTCTTTTGGATAGGGCCCCATTGTCACTTCCATTTATGAAATAAGGTCAGTCTCTGCAGTACAGAATAAATAAGAATTACGTGGTGATAGAGGGAAAAGAACATTGGCTCTGGACTGAGTTCAAATTCTACCTCTGCTACTTATTACCTCTGTGAGCTTGGGCAAGTCACTTAACCTCTTCATCTGTAAAATGATAGCACTGAATTTGATGGTCTGAGGTCCTGATGTGTTCTAGATCTATGATGCTATGAAAATTTCTCCGGTATAAGCTATAAACATTGCTGTGAAAACTGAAGTGTTTCATATAGAGTTTTAAAGCAGAGATTCTTTTTCTGGGATCCATGAGCTTGTTTTAAAAATATGTTAATATGGGGGCAGCTAGGTGGTGCAGTGGATAGAGCACTGGCCCTGAAGTCAGGACGACCTGAGTTCAGATCTGGCCTCAGACCGAACACTTGACACTTACTGGCTGTGTGACCTTGGGCAAGTCACTTAACCCCAGTTGCCTAAAAAAAAATGTTAATGACTGTGTTTCATCATAATTGATTTTCTTTGTAATCCTCTGTAACTTACTCTTACATTGAAAAACATTGTGAGAAGGGGTCCAAGTCACAAAAAGGTTAGGAATAACTACTTTAAATTTTTATAAAGTACTTTTCCCTCAACAATCCTATGAGATAGGTAGTATAGGATATAATTATACCCATTTCACCCATGAAGAACCAAGGCTCGGAGAGGTTAAGTAACTTGCTCAGGGTCACGTAACTGGTGAAGGCCAGAGTGAGACTTGAATACTAGATTTCTGATTCCAAGTCGAGCACTGTTTTTACTATACCATGATATCATAGGTCTTTAATTCTTTACTGACAACTTTTTTTTCTTCCTTAAGAAACTTCAGCTTTTCAGATGTCTTTGCTGCCATTCCCCAGACAATAGCTCAGTTGGCCAAGGAGGCTGGAGTAGAAACATTTATTCATGTTTCTCATCTCAATGCCGATATCAGAAGCACTTCTAAATACCTGAGAAATAAGGTCAGTCAAATGGAACTGGAAAGTGCTCCATCACAGGGCTAGTGTCATCTGTTCTTTAAAGCATGATGGAAGAAAGAAGAGCTTCCTGTTGAAATTCTAGGGGTCTGGTCAGGTACCATCAACTGAGCCAAACCCACACTTAGACTCTTTATGTTTCCTAATCCTGGTCTGGCCACTGTATCCTATGAAGTCACCTAAATCTAGAACTTTGTTCTCAGCATCCTTTTCTTTAAGCTTTTTTTGTACGTTAAAGGGAACATGCACTTTGAATGCTGAAACCTCTCGACTGGTTAATATTCTTGCATTTCTATCTTATTGCCCAGCACCTTCACACCTTCAAGTGGGCCCGCCATTGTCTTGTTAGTGTCTCCTATCCAGGGTAAAGAAATGCTTCTCATTCCCTGACTTTGTATTGTAGTATTTCCCTGGCATTGAGCCACATTTGAGGACCTGATATAGAGAAGAAAATATTCTTGAAATTGGAATATAGGAATATGATTTGGAATATTCAGAGAGGCTAGAGTGTCTCTTTCCATGGCACCTAAGCCTCTTGCCTTCAGAAGTCGGTCCTGTTCAGGCTGATTTTAGTGGGCCTGATCTAAACCAAGACAGCCCTAAGGCTTGTCCATTTTGGTTTGGAGTATTCTCAGAAAGTCCAGGATGGCCTTGAAATATTGCTGGTATGAAGGACTAGAAGGTGATTGGATTTTTCCTGGAATTGAATGGTCTACTCTGGGCCTTTTCCATGTCAGACTGTTCTGGGAATAAGTGGTATTTAATCTGTCAGCTTACCTCTCTTTTGCTGTTACTCCTCTTAGTATGTGTTCTAAGCTTCTTGTTGCTGGAATCCTTTTTATTTTCTCAACCAGCCAGCACTCTGACCTTTTAAAGGTTAAGTCCAAGGTTTTTAAATTTTTTGTGATAGTTATGTATTAGTATCACAACTTAGAAAGAGTTATAGGCTTTGGAAGGCAGGCACCAGTCCACTAGCAAAAAAGAGTGAAGCTTTGCTCATTTCTAGAACAATATTTGTTTTTATTCTTTATTTTGGATAGGCTGTTGGAGATGAAGCAGTGAGAGAGGCATTTCCTGAAGCCATCATCCTGAAGCCCTCTGACATTTTTGGAAGAGAGGATAGATTACTTAATTATTTTGCAAGTATGCATTCCACCTTTAAAAAAAGAATTTTGAAAATTGATGCCTTTTGATTTTACACCACGTTCATCTGTAAATATGGCCCTATCTTCCACCTACTTTGCCTTGTAACAGAGACTTAAAATGAAAAAGAAAAAATCAGTTTAGTGAAACAAACCAGGACATCAGAGGTGTTTGATATTATATATATAATGCTCTATACTCATATTTCCCCACTTTTGCAAGTATGCATTTCACATTGATACTAAGAGTGTCCAGATTTTCAGGCTAAGATTGAGACAGGGACTTAAGGTCCAGCTAAATATTCTATAATGGCAATAATATGTGTAACAGGGACTCTTTTAATTGCAAAGTATTTATGGGGGATCATGATGTGAGACTCGAACTCTCTCGTCTAAGAAATATTAGAGGGAGTAAGTGTTTAACAAGGAGGAAAGTGGATTTAAAGTAGGAGACATGATCAATCTCTTCTTGAAATGTTGTATTAAGAAGTTCGACTTACTCAGTGTAGCTTTAAAGTTCATAACTACGGCAGGTAAAAGTTAGAGGGAAGCAGATTTGACTTAAATAGAACAGGGTTAGCCAAAAATAAGAACTGCTTTGTGAGCTACCTGGAAGTATTCATTCAGAGGCTGCCTGATCACTTGTCAGTGATGTTAGAGAAGATATTCCTAGAGTAAGTAAAAGGGCTTTGACTAAATTATTTGTAAGGGCCCATTCAATTATAACATTTCATAAAGTAGGATTTATTTATGTTTCAGAGGTAAATATACATAGGCTTAGGCTGTCCTAGGCATTTCTTCATAGGAAGTAGGCCTGAGATAGGTTTTCTGAGATGAAGAGCAAGTTGGGCCTGTGGATGCTAAGTGCAGAAAAGCCCTGGACAGAATGAGCTGCAGAATGGAAGAGGTGGGATTAAAAACCAGCCTTACATTTTGTTCCTGCCTCTCCTCTTTTTCCCAATCCTGCCATCTAGATTCTACTTTGTACTAGCCGTGGGCAAGAAGTAGGGGGCAGCAGGGGGCAAGGGGTGGGGTGGGGGGAAGCCTGAGGAATCATGGGAGAGCAGAGTTCCTATGGCCAGTGATCATAAAGAAGCAGTTGCCAGGGTCATGATTCATATGTGTGAGAGAGAGATACACGCACAAGTTGGGAATTGCCGAGAGAGAGAGAGAGTGTGTGTGTGTGTTTCAGCCATCATGCTTATGCCACAAGAGAAAATCAGCCTCTACAATCGTGAGAAGACTCTAAGCAGTTGTTCTTCAAACCTGGGCTCTGTGAACTTGTTTTTAAAAAATATTTTGATAACTGTATTTCAGTGTAATTGCTCTACTATTCTGCTAGTGTGTCATCGCAGTGGGGTGACAATCCTGACCTCCTTTCCTAGAACTAACCTGAAAATTTATGAGTTGCTCCTTTATTAGTAGCTCTGGGTACCTCCTAAGAGTTGTGGACCAATTTTTTTGGAGGATTTTGCATTGAAGCATGCATAACATTAGATAAGGAGATAAGTCTCTTCCTGGCTTTTCTTGGAAAGCCATTTAACGTCTTCAGCTTTCCCATCTGAAAAAGCTCTCTTTTCCCTAACTCAGAAGAAGATCTTTAGCATAAATTGGAAAAAACTTTTTATAAATTCTTCAAAGTGTTCTTTTAACATCATCAACAGTGTTGGTAGTATATAATTGAACATACATAGGACTTGTGTGACTACTCACATATTCTTATGATTGTCTTTGTTCTTTTCTGCTAGATGTCCGTTGGTTTGGTGGTGTGCCTCTCATTTCATTGGGCAAAAAGACAGTGAAACAACCAGTTTATGTAGGTATTCTTGTTGGGGAGGGATGGAACCTCCTTCAACAAACCCTTATTAATTAAATTAACACCTATATTTTGTAATTTGATGCCACAAGAGAAAGTATGGTATAATGGATAGAGTTGGCCTCAGAGTCAGAAACACCTAGGTTCAATTCCTGCTTCTGACACATACTGGCCGTATGATTCTGGGCAAGTCACTTAACCTCTCAGTGCTCTCATGCAGCTAACACTGTATGTATACAAGTCACAGAGCACTTGCCAGTCTGGGTTGGTTGAGGACATTTCCTCACTGGTAGTGCCATACACCAGTGAAATCACAAGCCCACTCAAAACAAAGCTGTGGTAGCCACTAGGAGAGATGCAAAGGTCTATAAGACATGATCCTAATCTCATCTGTTGAGGAGTCCCCCTAAAGATGATGGAAAGATGCATGCTAGGCCCAAGTGGGCTGCAGTGCATTGCCAACCAAGAATCGTGTAAGAGAAGTGACATAATGGATGTCATCAGAGAGGTGCATGACCAATAAGTAGTCATGGGGCAGGAATGAGGGATACTCAGTAGACAAACTGCCTGCTCAGTTGTAACCTATGCAATGTCAAGGGAACCGAAGGGAAGCTTCCAACGTGTTGGTAATCCCTCTGTGGAGGATTTCTAGGAGAACATAGATAAGAGCTGCCAAGGATGAGAGGACTTGGGACGGCAGGAGTTATCAATTTTATTGCAATCACAGATACATCTAAATATGAGATGCTGACCATAGTGAACTTACAATCTAAGATGAATATAAATTGAGATCAAAACAAGAGGATGACAGTGCAGAAAGTTTCTGGTTCCAAACTATAGTTTAACGTATGATGAAATGATGGCCATCAACTTTTTGGTTTCACTGTGACCTATTGGCTTGCTGCATCACTCCTCAATCTCATTTGTTCCCCCTGGTTGGCGCTTTTGGCCAGTAACTCTAATATGGGGGTGGCAAGACCTGTCTTTTCAGTACTTCACAGGATTCATAAAGTTAGGGCCATAAAGGGGACCTTAGCTATCATCTGGGTCAACTCTTTCGTTTTTCAATTTGGGAAATGGAGTCTCCAAAAGGTTAAGTCATTGCCCAAGGTAGTAAATAGCAGATCTAAACCCACGTCCTCTGAACTCCAATCCAGTGGTATTTTGACAAAACCACACCTACTAGGAGTATAAATGAGATGTGTGAAGTGTTCTTATTAGAGAGGCTTTCTGAAAATGGATGATATCATTATTTCAGTCATTTCAGATTGTCAGGAATCTTTGTAATTGGGTTGTTTTTAACATTAATGTTTTTTTTTCACAGGTAGTAGATGTATCCAAAGCCATTATCAATGCAATTAAGGATCCAGATGCCCGAGGGAAGACCTATGCCATCACTGGGTAGGTGGCTCTGATGTGAGATTTTTAAATCTTCCTGGACAAAATATGTGGTGACATCTAATCTCTTAAAAACAACATTCTTCAGCTATCTGTTATTAGTAATCATTTATTCCTATTGTTCCTCTTCTCAGGGAACTAATTCAGGGATTCTCACTTTCATACCTCTTAGTTCATTAATGGGTTCAATATAATGATTCTTGGCTTTTGTGACACCCCAGGGTGTCTCCAGTGACAGAGGATCAGGACTATAGAACTGGAAGGTGCTCCAGAGTCCTCCCCCTCATTTTACAGTTGGGGAAACTGAGGGCTAGAAAATTTCAGTGACTTGTTCCAGGTCACATAGGCTTTAAATGGCTGTGCTAGGGTTCGAACCTAGATCCTCTGACTCCAAATCCAGGGTTCATTACACTGTACCATGTTCACATCTCAAAACGTATCAGAATTCTAAACAGAATAAGTTTTAGCATATTGCTAGTTGTAAAATCAAATCTTTTCCAAATTAAAAGGGTAATAGAAAACTGAAGGTACTGCTGGGTTAAGTGATTATCTGAAGTTAGACAGTCAGGAATTATTATCTGATTCCCGAATTATTTAACAATCAACATTGAGTGTATTTTCTTTATGTTGTGTTAACTTCCAAAGGAACTGGAGAGGACACAGTTCTCCAGTCTTAAGCCAAACCTGTTGGGGGTTTGGGAAGAGGGAGTGGGAGAGGGAGAGGGAGAGAAAGAGAAGAAGAAAGGAGAGGAGAGGAGGAGAAGGGAGAGAGAGGTGGGTGAGGAGAGAGGAGAGAAAAGGGGGTGGGAGGAAGAGAGATTGGAGAGGGAGAGGAGAGAGAAACAGATAGACACTCTCTTAGTCTCATCCTGAGACGCCAGCAAGGTAAATTGGATTCATCAGTTTCTAGGGATGTAGCAGAAACAAAGACAGCTAGTTTAGTGTCTTTAACAGGAAGTCCTTAGTAGATATACACATTTTTGGTTAACAAACAAATCCTGAGTTCCATACCAGAGGAAATATCTTTCTTAGAGTTAAAGCTAAGAACACAGAAACTCAGGAAAGCTCGGCTCTTTCCCTGTGGCCTATTTTAGGAGATGAACTCTGTGGAGAAAATAAATAATACCTGGTGTCCTATCAGTATGCATGATGTGACTTATTAAATAATTAATAAATAATAAGTCACAATGTGACTTATTCACTGTCATATTTCTTCCTGAGTTGCTTGTCATAGTGTGACTTTTAAATAGAACAGCATCTGAACTTGCCGAACCATCATAGTCTTCAGATTTGGTCTTTATTAGTTAAGCACTGAGTCCATCTTTTTTAGATACAAAAAGGGTTATTTTTTTTTCTCCATGTGTGCCAGCTGTTAAAAAGCTTGTGGTCAGCTACTTTTAGATACCAAGCCTTAGCTTATCCGTTGGATTGATAATGTTATGGAGTATACAGATACACAAAACTATTTACTCAGATGCCTTTTTGTGAAAAATTGTTAACTTGTTAAGATAGCAGGGTCTGAAAAGCATAGAATTTTAAAGCCAAAAGAGACTTTAGTGTTCTTGTAATTTAGCCCTCTTCTTTTACGAATGAGGCAACTCAGGTCCGGACAAGTTAGGTGACTTACCCACGGTCCACGTAGAATGCAGTCAGTCTCAAGCATTCATTCAATATTCACTATATGGTAGGCACTGTACTAAGTGCTGACAATACAAAGCAAGGGAAAGATAGTCCCTGCCCTCAAGGAGCTCACATTCTAATAAGGAAAAACAAACATGTAAATAACTTGGTACATGTACCAGATACATAGTAGATGGAAGATAATCTCAGAAGAGAATATACTAGCAACTGAGACTTCTTGCAGAGTATAGAATTTGAGCTGAGTCTTAAAGGAGATGACCTTGTGTACTTGAAGTCAGTGCCAGTTGAGCCCAAGCTGGAAATATTTATACACGGGTCTGATGATGGTCTATGTGATCATTTTGCCATCCTCATCCTTCTTGATTTCTCTGCCCCTCCTTGATACTCTCTCTTTTCTGGGTTTTTGTGACACTGATCTCTCCTGGTTCTCCTCCTACCTGTTGTTCCTTTTCAGTCTCCTTTTCTGGCTTTTCTTCCATATCATACCATGTAACTGGATTTTCTCCAAGGCTCTCTGCTGGACCTTCTCTAAACTCTGGGTCACCTCATCACTCCATTGGGTTTAATTATAATCTCAGTGCAGATCACTCACAAAGTTTTCTGCTCTCCCTCCATCTTCTCCTTCCTGTCTCTCCCTCTCTCTGTCTCTATATGTCTATCTGTCTCTCTCTTCTTTTCTTCCTATTTCTCTCCTCTTACTCCACATATACAGTCCATTTCTAGTTACTCACAGTTGATTCTCACTAATCACACAACTACTACCTTACTTTAGGCCCTCTGCCTTCAAAGACAGTCTTGGTGAGTTTCTGAAGCTGAAAAAGTCATAACTGTGTGGTCAGCCTTCTGGAGATGAGCTTCATTGCACTTAATTAGGATGGACTTTATGTAGCAGGACAGACAGGCATGCTATTTTGTCAGTTGCTGAATCTGCACTCGAAACTTTTCCAGTTTGAGCTCCACTGACATTAACTTTGAGAACCCAAGATCACTTCCACAGCATTCAGTTACAACAGAGTAGGAATTTAAAATGCTGTTGTAAAATGTATAAATTTGAAGGAACATGCTTAGCTCTTTGTCCCATTTTGTCTTTGCTAATCATTTCTCCCCTTTTAAACCATGTCAAATATTTATAGAGTTCTTACTGAATTACCTTCAGTCCTAGTCACCTGTCATGAAATCTCTAACTAAAGAACCAAAAAAAAAAATGTGGTAGGAGGAGCAATTCAAGAGCAAATGTTTTTGTTTTTGTAGGCCGAATCGGTACCTCTTATATGATTTGGTGCAGTATATCTTTGCTGTGGCTCACAGACCATACCTTCCATACTACATGCCACGTTTTGCCTATCAGTAAGTAACATATTTGTTGGAATCCTTCTCTGGAAAGAAACTTAAGCAGGTATGCTTACCTTTGCCATCTTTTACAACAGTATTGACATAGCCACAGTTAATATTGTATTTTTGCAGCTTTTCCCAGTTCCTCTAAGTAAAGACCAATAGGAAACAGGAGACAGAGGTAGAGTATAGCTGGTTAACAATATGCATATTCAAGTTTAACCAATCATATAAATTGAACAACTAAAATTGCAAATCTTTAGAGTCTTTTCTGTTGGTAGACCCAATGGTTTTGAGTTATGGAATGATGTCCTTTTTCACATTGGGTATAAAGCTGGAGGTGAGACTTCCTAGTTATTCCATATACCCTTTAAGCAAAAAGCAAAGGAAATTGGTCCATTCTCTATGAGACAGTTGTTGGGATGTGCCAAAGTTTTACCCATTACTTACAAACGAAGAGATTCAGGAAATAAGTTTGAATTATGTGCAAAGAAAATAAGACAGGTGCTTGACGGTAATCTCAGTGACATCTTGATTCTCAGGGTCTCATTTTTAAATGTAGTATCTGGAGGTAATGCTGGATTAGGGGCCAAATCTATTTCAGCCTAAGCTTCTCAATAGTTTAGTCTTCAGATATGAAGATTTACAACTTTGTTTTAATAATTTTTATTAGGCACTTGTGAATGGCTTCACTCCAACTGATGAGACTAGTTCATAAGCATAACAATGGGGCCTCTACTGGTCTGAGCACTAAGAACTGTCATCTGTATAGGGCAGGCCCTTTCCAGGAGGTAGGTCCATTCAAGATACCTAAGTATAGAGCTATGAAGAATTTTTGATGACACTAGAACCCAAGGAACTAGAAACATCTCCCCCATAATCAGAGAGTTGTGATACCCTGATAAATTGCCCTTTTCAATTCTAGGACTCTCTCTGAATATGGAATCATATGATCATAGATTTAGAACTTCTAAACTTGATGACTTAGAAGCTATTAAGTCCAACCTCCTCATTTATAAATGAGGGAATCAAGGCTCAGAGGAGTTAAGTGACTTGCCCAGGTTCACACAGCTTGTAAGTGTCTGAGGCAGGATCTGAACCCAAAACTTCCTGACTTGAAGTCCAGGTTTTCTCTGTGACTTTATGCAGAGCACTCTGTCCCCTGAGGAGTATTAGAAAAACACTTTTGTCAGGACTTCTTGCTTACGCTTGCCATGAAATAATTCTCATTTCCCCATATTTTCACCTGGTAATTAAGATTGATTTAAGGACATCTAAGGAAGAGCCTTAATTCATATCAAATGGCTTAATACAGTACTTGGTGCTTAATAAATGCCTGTTGAATTAATGAATGAATTTAGGGAAAAACTTCAGTTTACATCAGTGACAGGCTTATTTCCATCAAAAAGAAGGGCTCTTCACTGGCCAGGTTATCTTATCCTTAGTTTTCGTATCTTTCTTTCTTTTAGATTGTCTGTTGGCTAAAAGCCATTGGGATAATATTTGGAATGGAATGGAATCATATATATTCACATTTGCACAAACCTACTATGGCATGAGTACTTACCTCTGACACAACAAATTCATGTGTTCCAGGGCTTACATTTGTGCCTTCTATTTGAATGCTTGGTTTCATTTATTTTAAAGGCTTTGCACATTTTGTGGGGAAAATGTGGGTAAAGGGGGTGGTCAAGAAGGTCAGAAGTCAGTCTACCTAGAATGGAGTCAATCAGTAAATAAACAAGCATTTATTAAATGTCTACTGTGTATATATTAGTATACAAATGTGAAACGTTTTCTGCCTTCACTTAGCTTCTACTTGGCAGGTATAACATTTGTCAGGGAATGGTAAAGAGAGCTTTGGTCAAGGCCAGGAGTTTCAAACTTTTTTTGTTGTTGTTGTTCTCATGGACACCTTTGGCAGTCTGTGGACCTCTTCTCAGAATGCTTTTCAGTGTACAAACGAAAATATATACGGTTACAAAGAAAACAAATTATATCAATATTAATTATTATCATTTTAATAATTGTTTATATAATAATTAATATTAATCAAAATATTAATAAAACAAATCCATAGATCCCAGGTAAAAAACCTCTGGTTGAGGCAGTTGTAGGAAGTGTAGGTGGAGCCTAGCTTAATATGCCCTTTCCAATAGTGTTGGTAAAATTGATTTGGTTATTATTACCTCAGCAAGAGGTAGAAAAGGAGAGTGGAAGGTACACATGAAGCAGCAGGGCTTTAGGAAAGGTGCTTAGGCTCTGGTGTCAGGTGAATGGCTGCATAGTATTAATGCTTGGCCTGAGGTGGCTAGATACAGATATAGAGGACTGATTTAACCACCAGTCTGAGACAGTGCTGCCCCAGAATGAATCCCAAAGCTGAATTCATAGTTGGAAAGGATCTCAGAGGCCAGTCAATCCTGCTCCCCTCATTTCATAGATGAGGAAACTGCATCCCAGGGAGGTTAAATAACACAGGTAATAAATGTCAGAAATGACATTTGAACTTGTGTGATTGAAAAAGTCTTTTTAAACATTTGTGAAGTCTAGACTTTTAACAGCCTCTCAGTATGATTCTTTCAGCTAGCTAAAATGATTTTGTGCAGAGATACGGAGCGTTCATATACCTCATGTTTGTTTCCAGATTGGTGGCAAGAATCTTTGAGATGAGTCCATTTGAACCCTGGACCACAAGGGACAAAATAGAGCGGGTAAGTATGCATCAACAAACATCCTCCTTAATTTGTTGGACAGAGTCCTATAGAAATTACTGACTCATACTGTTCTTACTTTATTCTAATACTGGCTTAGCTACTGACATGTGAGCCAAGTTAGATTCTATAAGTTTCTGGCATTCCACACCTATTGGAAGGAAAGTAATCATCAGTCACTATCACTGAATTCCTGCTGTATACTGGCTGTTGCTATGGAGGATACTAAAAAACCAGACTCAAAATGTTTCTTCTATATTCATTTATTTATTTGGTGAGGCAATTGGGGTTAAGTGACTTGCTCAGGGTCACACAGCTAGTACGTGTCAAGTGTTTGGTCTGAGGCCAGATTTGAACTCAGGTTCTCCTGACTTCAGGGCTGGTGCTGTATCCACTGCGCCACCTAGCTGCCCTCCTCCCCCTAAATGTTTAAAAAAACCTTTTTTTCGATCACACAAACAAAAAGGCATGAGGTTGAGTTTCATTATTGTTATGGGACAAATATAAGTGGTCACCTATAGACCCCATTCAAGATTTCTTCTTCTGTTCCCGTCTAGTTTCTCCACTTAAATATTTAGGCAGGGTCATAGATTTAGATATGGAAAGGACCTTACTGACAGCTGAGTCCAGCCCCCACATTTTACACATGAAGTATCTGAGTCCAAAACATGCTGAGTGATTTGCTCAGCATCTCCCAGCTGTTGTGTCTGATGTAGGCTTTGAATTCAGATCTAGTTGAAAGAGTGCTGGTGTTGGAGTGAAAGTATTAGAGCTCAAATTCTACCTCTGACATTTACTAGTTGTGTGACCTTGGGCTTCAGTTTTTCTGACTATAAAATGAGAGAGTTGGACTAGATAGTTTTTAAGGTTCTTAATAGATTTAAGTCTGCACTTTTATGATCCTGATTGATTTCCCCTGCCTTCTAAGTAGGATGACATCTAAAGTATCATAGGTCATTGAGTTCAGTCTGTACCTGAAAAGGATTTACTCTTCAACATCCTTGACATGTTTATCCAGCTTTCACTTAAAGATCACCAAGATCAGGGAACTCTCTGCCTCCTGAAATAGCTCTTCTTACTTTGGGACAACTCTATAGGAAAGTTTTCCTTCTGTTGAGTCCAGATTTACTTCCCTTAGAACTTCTTCCATTTGCTCCTAATTCTGCTTTTTAAGGCCAAGCAGAACAAATCCAATATCTCTTCTGTGCGATAGCCTTTCAGATACATGAAGACTGTTATGTTCTCCCTAATGCTTTTCTTCTCCAGACCACAGTAAAAGTATACCTAGAGTAAGAAAGTGATCAGCAGGAAGAATGCTTGGGAGAAACAAATTCCGTAAATTTTGGCAGCCTGTCAAACAGGAGCTGAGGTAGAGAGTCTGTGCGTAATGAAGAGGCACGGCCAAGATAGAGGGAAGAGAGGACTGAATGGCACGTAGAACAACCTTTGTTTCTTCTCACTTCCCAGTCTCTTGAGTTTTTGGTAGAGATTTTTATTTATTTGCCTTACAAAATCTTTTATTCTCTTTTCTTTTTTTAATATTGTTGTCACTTAAAAAAATTAATAGTTTTTTCAAACAATCACTTGTCATTTCCCAGTGACATTTCACCACAGCTCCCTCTTCTTTCGGAAATTTAAGTTCTCCCTTGTAGCAAATAAATATAGTCAGACAAAATATTTCAACATACTACTCATATCTGAAATGCACCTCATTCTGTAGCTATTTGTTGTTTTTTGTTTTGTTTTGTTTTTTTACCACTTCTTTTACTGAGAGATGGGAGGTATATTTCACCCTCAGTCTTCTGAAGTCATGACTGAAGTAACTGATCAGAGTCCTGAAGTCTTTCAGTGTTTTCTTCTGTGTTACTGTGGTTATATATAGTGTTCTCCTGGTTCTGCTTTCTTCACTGCATCAGTTTATACAAGTTTTGCCAAGTTTCTCTAAATTCTTAATATTACTGTTTCTTATGGTATATGAATATTTCATTATATTCATATATCACAATTTTTTCAGCCATTCCACAGTTGATGGCCAACCACTATCCTTCCAGTTTTTTGGTTTTTTTGCTACTATAAAATGTAGTGCTATAGAAATTTTTGTTTAGATAGGACCTTTTCCTCTCTCCTTGACTTGCCTCATAGTGGTATCTCTGAGTCAAAGGATATATAGAGTTTAGTTACTTGGTATAATTCCAAATTATTTTCTAGAACAGTTGGACCAATTCATAGCTACACCAGTAGATCATTAATCTGTCTGCTTTCTCACAGCACCTCCAACATTTAGTATTTTTTTTTTTTTTTACCAATCTGATGGCTATGAGATGAAACCTCAAAGCTGTTTTCATTTGCATTTTTTATTCCTAATGACTTGGAACATTCTTTCTTATGGCTGTCGATAGCTTGCATTTCTTCTTTTGGAAACTACCTTTAAAAAAAGGAAACTGCTTATTCATATCCTTTGACTATTTATCTGATAGGTAGCTGATCTGTTTTATAAAGGTTGCCTGTGTTTGGGATCCGCTTTTGATTTGAATTTTTAGGATCTCTCCTTTGGACTTGTTACCATACTTGCCTTTTGACATTAAATTTCAGGAAGCAAAAAACGCTTCATATTTCATGAAGTCAGCCAAGTCTTTTATTTTTTTAATTAATTTATTTTTAGTTTTCAGCATTCACTTCCATAAGCTTTTGAGTTCTAAATTTTCTCCCTCTCGCTCCTTGCCTTCCTCCTTAAGATGGTGTGTGATCTGGTATAGGCTCTACATATATATTCCTTTTGAACATATTTTCACATTAGTCATGTTGTAAAGAAGAATTAGAATCAATAGGAGGAACCACAAGAAAGAAGAAACAAAACAGAAGAAAAGAGAAAAAAAAGAGAAAATAGTATGCTTTAATTTGCATTCCAACTCCGTAGTTCTTTTTCTGTATGTGGACAGCATTTTCCATCATGAGACTCTTGGAGATGTCTTAGATCCTTGCATTGCTGAGAAGAGCTAAGTCTCTCAAAGTTAGTCACTGCCCAACGTGGCTGTTACTGTGTACAATGTTCTTCTCGTTCTGTTCACTTCATTCAGCATCAGCCAATACAAGTTTTTCCAGGTTTTTCTGAAGTCTGCTTGCTCATCATTTCTTATAGCACAGTAGTATTCCATTACATTCATATACCACAACTTGTTCAACCATTCCCCAACTGATGGGCATTTCCTCAATTTCCAGTTCTTTGCCCCCATAGAAAGAGCTGTTATACATATTTTTGTACATGTGGGTCCTTTTCCCATTTTTATGATCTCTTTGGGATACAGCCCTAGAAGTGCTATTGCTGGGTCAAAGGGTATGCACATTTTTATAGCCCTTTGGGCATAGTTCCAAATTACTCTCCAAAATGGTTGTATCAGTTCACAATTCCAGCAACAATGCATTAATGTTCCATTTTTCCCCACATCTTCTCCAACATTTATCATTTTCCTGTTTTGTCATGTTAGCCAATCTGATAGGTGTGATGTGGTACCTCAAAGTTGTTTTGATTTTCATTTCTCTAATCAATAGTGATTTAGAGCATTTTTTCATAGCTTCTTCATCTTGACTTGTATTCTTATAGATTTGACTCAGTTCTCTATGTATTTTAGAAATGAGGCCCTTTTCAGAGACTGGTTGTAGAAATTCTTTCCCAGTTTTCTGCTTCCCTCCTAATCTTGGTTGCATTGGCTTTGTTTGTGCAAAAACTTTTCAATTTAATGTAATCAAAATTATCCGTTTTGCATTTCATAATGTTCTCTATCTCGTTTGGTCATAAATTCTTTCCTTCTCTATAGATATGACAGGTAAACTATTCCTTGCTTTCCCAGTTTGCTTATAGTATCAACCTTTATATCTAAATCGTGTACCCATTTTGACTTTATTTTGGTATATGGTGTAAGATGTTGGTCTATACCTCGTTTCTGCCATACTCTTTTCCAGTTTTCTAAGCAGTTTTTGTCAAATAGTGAGTTCTTATCCCAGAAGCTGGGGTCTTTGGGTTTATCAAATAGTAGATTGCTACAGTCATTGACTACTGTGTCTTATGTACCTAACTTATTCCACTGATCTACCACTCTGTTCTTAGCCATTACCAAATGGCTGCTTTTTGATGATTGCTGCTTTATAATACAATTTAAGATCTGGTATGGCTAGGCCACCTTCCCTAGCATTTCTTTTCACTAGTTCCCTAGATATTCTGGACCTTTTGTTCTTCCAGATGAATCTTCTTATTATTTTTTCTAGCTCTATAAAATAAATTTTTGGTAGCTTGATTGGTATGGCACTGAATAAGTAAATTAATTTAGGTAGAATTGTCATTTTTATTATATTAGCTCAGCCTACCCATGAGCAACTGATGTTTTTCCAACTATTTAGATCTATTTGTGTGAAAATTTCAACCAAGTCTTGATAATGTAACTCATACTAACATTGGAGAACTGTAGATAAACAGATTGCCTACTGGGGACAGAGGTGGGCAGTTTGATATGTTGGTTGGTTTTCATTAATCTTTTGTGTTTTCTTATGTATTCAAAGATTCACATCACCGACAAGAAATTGCCTCACCTGCCTGGCTTAGAAGACCTTGGTGTCGAGGCTACTCCCTTAGAACTCAAAGCCATTGAAGTTCTTCGACGTCATCGCACATACCGATGGTTGTCTGCGGAACTGGAAGATGCAAAGCCAGCCAAAACAGTCAACTTTTAATGTTCCCCAGGCAGCTTTGTGTTTTCCATATTGTTTAGGTCACCTGTCCAGCCACTGATTTTCTTCAGAGAATTCTGTGCCCGATGGATCAGATTCCTCAATTAAAACTTTTAAGATTAATTTTAGAAACATCAGCATCTTCGTTCTTGGCTTATACAACATTCACAGAGTTTTGAAAAATCATCTAATCTACCAGTTTGCATTTTGGACTTTGGGCAGATGAAAATGTACCTTGTTTGTAAGGATTTCCCTGAAAGGAGACTTCACTTACAGTCATTCATAACAGGCATTAGTCATTCACTCCAGGTGGTACAGTGGGTGTAGTGCTGGGCCTGGAGTCGAGAAAACCTGAGTTGAAATCAGGCCTTAGATGCTTATTAGCTATGTTACCCTGAGCAGGTCATTTAACCTCTATTTGCCTCAGTGTTCCTCATAAATCCTAAGTGATTTTGTAGAACTAAAGTTAGCAAATCTCATTGCAGTTTATTTTTTTTTCCAATTACAACCGCATTGTTCTTCTGGAACATAATGCTGTTTGAGCAAATTGCGTGATCATCTCTCAAATTGCATTATTCCATTAGATTATACCAGCTTTGTAGAGGAAGATGCCTTGGAGTCCCAAGGTCTATCATCTCCTTGTAGCATGTATTTAAACATAAAATCCTTCGACAGTCTCCACGTCCGTCCATGCTATTTCTGATGACCATTTGAACAGTAATTTAGTATAAAACAAGCAACCTAATGCATTATTTTTTCTTAATCGGGCTGCAGCTCAACCAATAGTTGCAATCATCTATATGCTGGAGAGTTTTTCAAAAATTGCTCTTGGTGATGGGTGTTTGTTTGTATCTAGTGTTAGCCAGGGCTAACTTGTATGTAGGACTGAGTTAAATATAGGCAGAGTAGTCATAGTTTCAGGTCACTCCCAGAAAGGCCTTGTGTGAATGAACCAGCCTGCCAATGTCTGAAATAGTCACATTGATCAATTCCTTTGAGTTCATAAGAAAGCCAGAAGGCAAACATAAGATTCTTCAAAGATCAAGCCTTTAGGTCCATGATTAGTCTAATTCACTTCTGGTTTCTCCTCGCCCATGACATCTCCCTTATTATGGATGCAACATTTACACAGTGTATTTTTTTTTATTTAATATTTTATTTTCTCCCAATTACAGGTAAAAACAATTTTTAACATTCATTTAGATTTTTTTTTGAGTTCCAAATTCTCTTCCTGCTTCCCTTCCCCCCCACTGAAAAGATAAGCAGTTTGATATAGGTTACACACATGCAGTCATGCAAAACATTTTCATGTCAGTCATGTTGAAAAAGAAAACACATTTAAAAAGTAAAAGAAAAAATATGCTTCGATCTGCATTCAGACTCCATCACCAACTAGCATTTCTTTAAAAAGTATTAAAGCTGTCCTTGATTCTTAACTAGCCTTGGAACTAAGGCTTGAAGCACTGGCTTATCTTCCTAGTCACCTGAGTACGAAAGCCAACACGAATCCCTCATAGATTACCGTGGTAAGTGAAGAGACAGGGAAGCTACAATCCACCTGAATCTATGCTGTGTCCTTTCTGAATATCCTTCCCATATTATTACTATTGAGGTACTGAGTATTATTAACTGAGGCAGCTAGGTGGCTCAGTGGATAGAGAGCTGGGCCTAGAGTTAGGAGAGACCTGAGTTCAAATCCAGCCTCAGACGCTCACTAACTCTGTGACCCTGACCAAGTCATTTAACCTCTGTTTGTCTTAATCCACTGGAGAAGGAAATGGCAAACCCCTCCAGCATTTTTGCCAAGAAAACACCATACAGAGTCAAAAAGAATTGGACACGACATGGTAACAAACCTTTTGTTATCTGTTAGGTGGTACAGTCTCACATTTCTTCCTGAATCTAGGCCTAGCCCAGAACATTGGTGTTAGTCAGCAGGGTTAGATTAGAATGATGTCCAAATAGCCTGTGTCTAACTTGGCTGAGGTGAGGGAAGGACAGTTTAGAAGGTAGGGCACCTTTTACTCTCTGGTCCTTGTGCTCCTATCTCCAGACCATGGAGGGGGACCTGCGCTCACTCCAGAGGAGAAGAAAGTGAACTTGTGGGTGTTTGGCAACTAGAGACAAGTGTGTGTGTTCAGGATCTATAAAGAACCACACCCTGAGGGTGATTTTTTTTTCTTTATTTTTCATTTTTCTGTACTTACCAAACACCAGTTAATATAAACATTTAGATATTCAAAGAACACAAGAAATGGAGAATCTTGACTACAAACAGCTTGCTTATTAAAAAAACAACAAACCAATATGATGAACTGAGCACATTAGATTCAAACTGTCTTGCTTGTATGTGTCTCTCTCTGTTCTATGCTTTTTAAAATGCTTCATTCCAATGAAGCTGAGATCCCAGTTCAGCTCTCCCTCAAATCTGTGTGTGTGTGTGTGTGTGTGTGTGTGTGTGTATATTCACTTAATTCTTGTGTGTCTTGGTACTAGACTCCCAAAACATACATTTTATAGTTATTTCGAATGAAGTTTTTCTATCCCTGCTGGATTTTGTAGTATGCAGAAAAGCTGATACTTTATGTGGGCTTATATCCTGCTACTTTGCTGGTTTCAATTAATTTTAGTAGAATCTTTAAGGATTCCTTAAATAGAACATCATAATTATGCATAGTATACACTAATTAAATGTTAAGTACTGTTATTTTTAAGGGAACACACATCTGTACAATGCTTACTGTGTGCCAGGTATTGGGGTTAAATGCCCGTTTTTCCTTCCTTCCCTCCTTCCTTTCCTCCCTCCTTCCTTCCTTTCTTTTTTCCTTCCTGCAAGGAAATAATTTGTCAAAATACAAGAAAAATAGAAAAGTATCAAGTCATGGAATTTTAAATGCTGATCAGAGGAGTTTCTCTTTGATCCTAGAGGAAATAGGGAACCATTGGAGTTTACTGAGGAAGAGAGGGATATGGTCAAACTTTGGCAACTGATATTTTAAAAACATAGGTCATCATGTTTTTAAACCATGTCATCCTCCTGCTCAATGAGCTCCAGAAGTGCACTAGTACTTCTGAGATCAGATATAAAGCCATCTTGTTTGTCATTGTTTGTCAGATGTTCAACCTCAGCGAAATCTTCTATGTACCTACTTATTTACATGTGAGCTCCTTGAGGGAAGAGACTTTTTTTTTTTTTTTTGCATTTCTTTGTGATCTCCACACTTAGCATGATGCCTATTATATAGAAATAAATAAATGCTTATTGACTGATTGTTGTAGACTTATGTGGAGGATATATTGGAGGGGGGAGAGAATTGAGGCAGGAAGACAGACAATTGCAGAGAAATACATTCGTGCAATGCTAGACAAGGGAGAATCAGAAATAATTGAACTCAGTAACCCACTATTTGATATCCCTGTTTGGTAAGAATTGCTGGGAGATCTGGAAAGCAGTCTGACAGAAACTAGACTTGGACCAAAACTTGCGCAATAATCCATGATAAATACAAAATGGATTCATGACTTGAATGTTAAAGATAATATTATTTAAAAATTACACGAGAAGTGGATCATATACTTTACATTTTATAGATAGCAGATAAATTCTTTTTTTAAAAATATTTATTTTTAGTTTTCAACATTCTGTAAGCTTTTGAGTTTTAAATTTTCTCGCTCTCCAAGATGGCATGCAATCTGATATAGGCTGTACATATACATTCCTATTAGACATAATTTTACATTAGTCATGTTGTAAAGAAGAATTAGAACCAGTAGGAGGAACCACAAGAAAGAAGAAACAAAACAAGAGAAAATAAAAAGCAAATAGTATGCTTCGATCTGCATTCCAAATCCATAGTTCTTGCTCTGGTTGTGGATAGCATTTTCCATCATGAGACTTCTGGAAATGTCTTAAATCCTTGGCAGATATATTATTAACAAAACAAGGGAGAGATACAATTTCAAAAGATAAAGTAAGTCATTTTGATTAGGTGAAATTGAAAAGCTGCACAAACAAAATGTAGGATAAGGGATGTAGTCAAATAGGTAAAAAAAAAAATCTTTGTATCAAATTTCTCAAATAAGGAATTCAAGATAATAATATGTAGATAAAAGACATTCTCCAATAGAGGCCAAAGGATATGAACAAAGAGTTCTGAAAAGAATTGCAAACTATTAACAGCTATATGTGAAAGAATGCTCCAAATCACTAATAATAAGAGAAATGCATATCAAAACAGCAAATTGGCAGAGATGACAAAAGACAAGTCAATTTTAGACGGGTTGTGGGAAGATAGGTACACAAATGTATTGGTAGAGCTGTGAAGTAATGCAACCATTTTGGAAAGCAGTTTTGGATTATGCAAATAAGTGGCAAATATCTACCTGGACCAAATATCTCTGGATCTTTGATTCAGAGATTCTGTTATTAATTTTATACCACAAGGAGGTCATTGATCTCTAATGTCCCTGCAACCTCTAAATTACCTTGCAAAAATGTTAGAACAAACTGTAAGTTGGATATAATAATTCGTATAGTATGTTGTTGTGAGGATCAAACTTTAGGGCACCCCAAAATGTCAACTATTATTAATCTGAACTTCTCTCTCTAAGATCTAAAATGAAGCCTTTTGTTTCCAAGGTAAACCTTCATTACCACAGCACAGCAAAACTCCCATAGGGTCACACTGATCCTCATGATTGATTTTGAGCACAATTTACTCTCATGTGGAGAACACATAATCCCATGATGAGAACAGATTGAGCTGTGATCACAGAGACAGAGTAAGTAGGTACTATTTAATAAAAGCCATGAACCAGCACCATGAAAGATTCAAGAGCTTCAGGTCTTTCCTAATCTCTGGGAATAAGTATCAAAATCATGTGTAAAATTAGTACATGATTTTTGGGGGAGGGGCGAGAAAGAGAAGAGTCTTGGACAAATCTTTTCCTAACCAGTAGCATCCCAGGCATAAAGTGTGGTCGTTTCCATTAGTAGAAAAAAAAACATCATCAATGTTACAACTAATTCAGATCTTTTAGAGTTTTTATTTTTTCAATTAACAAGTATTTTTCTCCTCACAGCCCCTGCCCAATTGAACAAAAATTAAATAAGAAAAGAAAACCAGTTTCAG